ATCTGCCTATCTACCTATCTACCTATCTATCTCTCTGTCTGTCTATCTATCTGTCTATCTGTCTATCTGTGTATGTATGTATGTATGTATGTATGTATGTATGTATGTATGTATGTATATGTATATATTTATAAGCTCATGATTTCAGGTCTATTCATTTAGTTCAGTGATCCGGGACCAACAGGAGAGAGAAGGTTGTGAACACATGTCAAAGCCGCATGATTCCGCAAGATGTTTTAAGGGGCAGTGATTCGAGAAGTCCTTCCATTGGAAGTCTCAGCGTAGCCAGAATCAGCTGGCAGCTTCTGCCTGGAATCTCCATTCTGTTCAGGCTCAAGCCATCATCCGCCTCTGGCTGCCATTGTCGCTGGGTGTCATGTCCGGACAGTCCAAGGAGATGGCGTACACCTTGGAGTACCCGTCCGAGAAGCTGAGCTTTCGCCACCACTTCTCCTCTCTGTTACTGAGTGGCGACTGGTCCCTGACCTTGCTCGAGCTTGGTAGTTTGGGGTCGCTGGTGGCTGCAGCCTGCTTTCTACCCGGTGAGAAGGTGAATGTCAAGGGCTCTTGGACTTTGGAAGAGCTGGCTGCCTTCCTTTATACGAAGGCTGCTGTGACACGTCTTTACAACACCTACCTTGAGGCAGTGTTCTTCACCTTCCCGCGTTTCCGCACGCAGCCTCCGAAGGAGCATGCACTGAAGGAGAAGAGAGACCTCTGCGGTAGGGACATGGAGCAGTTGCAGACCATCCTCTTTCATGATCGTCTAACCCTGCTGAGCCAGTTCGCTTTCAATGTGGGTCTCTATTATGCTATTCCCGGCTACTACCCGCCGGCTGGCAATGTGGCACCTCTTCATGAGCGTGTGCTTCGTCTTGTATCCAATCAATACCTCATGTCCTTCGGCATGTACTGGATGCATCGAGCTCTTCATGTGGTTCCATTCCTTTGGGACAAGATCCACTCCTACCACCACTGGGCCAAGCACCCCTTGTCCCGCAACACCTACGACGACCACTGGCTGGACAACCTCGGCAATGCCGTAGTGGGTCATTTCTGTGCACAGGCCCTCCTTCCGCTTGACCACGGGACCTTCTGGTTCTCGCACATCTTCCGCATCTTCGAGAGCTTGGAGAAGCACTCTGGTGTGAGCTGTGGGTTCAACTTGGCCCACCAGTTGCAGAGGTATTTTCCCTTTGCGCAGATGCCGCACCACCACGACTGGCATCACGAAGGCCACAAAGGGTGCAACTACACCTTCAGCTCCATCGGCGGTCTTTGGGACTGTGTCTTCGGCACGCGGAAGGTGGGCCGGGCCTTGGAGATCATGCCCTCACAGGCGACCTACAGAGACAGAGCACAGGGTAAGAAGGCGGGCCGAGTGCGGACTTTGCTGGACCACCCTGCGGTGTGCCTTCTGCCAGTGGTCTCCGTGACAGCTGTCGCCATCATGAAGCTGCAGAGGGACGGCTTCTCCTTGTCGCAGAGGTGAGCCCGCGGACCTAGTCAATCCTGGCCAGTCCACTTTGACAGTTCCATGTCGTCCTCGAGAGGCCGTGAGCGCATGTTGGGCGAAATTCGGTTCCCTGCCATCAGGGTGTTGTACAGGTTCTGCTTCTGAAAGCAGGCTGCACGCTTCTTTTCAGCTCACTTGCAAGCCTTGCAACACTGGGCTCCATCCGTGTAGAGAGTGTCCGCATGCACCCAGCTCCATCTACGAAGCTATGAGCAGACTCTAAACTGACCGCTGCTGCTAGCGCGAAATGCCGGTGTGCGCGGATCTCACTGCGCGGTAAAGATCGAGACAAAGACCAACATCACACAAACCATATTCGCACGCAGGTGCGGCCGCGGCACCAAAAGAAGAGCGACTCTGCCCCTGCCCCTCGTGATGTCTCTGCTCTTCCCATAGGCCCCAGAGTAATTCCTTTTTGGGGTTACCTTATAGGATTCTATATATGGGCCTATGGGTTGTGAGAATGGCTTATGGCCGGCTTTGGTAGGCCGTCCCCGAGAATGAGTTCCATGTCCCGCCGGTGGGTGAGGTCTCCATCGAGGCTCTCGGATGTTTTGGGGGTTAGGGTTTGGGGTTT